ATTGTGAGGTAGGGCAGCAGGCCTAGCAGTGTGTTAGTTTGACTGTTTGTTCTGTGGTCACCATGCAATTTAAGTAAGTTGTTGAGTGTTGATGGACAAGCAGTTTAAATGAATTTACATTGAAATCATTGAATTATATTGGTATGTGGCAACTGTACCGTTACAAAACTGATTATTATCTGTAACCAGTAGTCTGGCACAAACTGTTGCATGCAAAGTACACCTGTCTACATATGCTGTATGTATAGTATTTATACTAAAGAGCTGACAAATGAAAGGAAAAACCCTTAGCGTGAGGGGATTTGGTGGCTTTATTTTGTTGTTGTTGTGTGGAAGTAACCTGGCACAGGTTGGTTTCGCTCCACCTCTGAGTCACTGTGAGTCAATACAAAGCTGTTCTGAGTGATCACCTTTATCCTGTGATGAAACATTTTTGTCCTGTGGGGGAGTGTTCTCCGCCAGGATAACAACGACCCTATTCGTAGGACGCTAAGAGTCACTGAATGGTGAGTAGAGAAAATATAGTGAATCAAATGACCACCTCAATCTGCAGATCTCTGCCCAGATTAAACCTGGGGCATTCTGGAGCCTTTTGGAAGACTGGCGAGACAGGTCACGACCTGGAGAATCGAGGGCCAAAGTGCACTGAAATTGTTTTTGTTTGTTCCCCCCCCCCAAAAAAAAAACAAAACCCAAAACAAGTCATGTGTAGAAGGCAAAGGATGCGTTAAACACTTAAATCTGTGTTTTGATGGCAAGCACTCAGCCTGGTGTAGTATTCACTACATAAACAACAGACGCTTGGATCTGTCTCAGATTTAAAGCATTAACTGATGACTCATTATGTCGTATCAAGTACTGCCCCGCATACATGCAGTACGATGATTCTTGGTGTCAGATCTCTATGGCGCAAACGCTTGCCAAGAAGGTAGACTGCTCAAGTGAAACATGAGGCTTATCTCAGGTTCATCGGTCAAGATTGAGAAAGCTTGCTGCCAGCACCTGAGGTAATCTTCAGAGAATGTGCTTCCCTGAAGGAAAAAAAAGGAAGTGCACAGGTTGGAAACACACCTGTTATAGCAGAATACCTAAAACCAGATTTGTGTATTTTAGTGTAGCTACAGAGAAGGTGAAAATCCACCACCAACTTAAGCATTAGGATATGTCACCTTTTTCCAGTTCCTCCTTAAAAAACCAGAACTGAAAACATGAATCCATTTCTGTAGTGTATCTAGATTTTTAATATTGCATCTCAATGACAAAATGGTATTATAATAAAAAAAAAAAAAGCTTATAAAATACAGCTGTAGCTTCTCATGTTTTCTGTAATTTGACAAAATGAAAGCATTTTGCAGGCCTGACAGGAGGATGTGATTTAAGTCTTACATGAGTAAAACTGGTATTATTGAAGATTCCCCTCTGTAGTCATTAGCTTTGCCTCCTTTGCTCTTAAGCAGCCAGGTGACTCGAGTAAACTTCCCTTCTTTGTGTTATCGGTGTGGCAGCCTTGAAACACATTAGCTAAATTCTCTCGAAGGAAAGAGGCGCCCACACACGAGAGGGTACTCTGATTACATTTCCCAGTTGTGACTGTCTCGCTCCGCTTCCTTGTCTTGTGTTGCTTTCTTTCAGTTGAACTTTTGTTGAAAATGTGTCGTTTTCAGATCCTCAGCCTTAATCTTCAGATGTTAAATGGCAAGGATAAAAGGCTCGGGCGGGGGCATGGAAATCTGGAAAGGGTTAGAAGAGGTATGGCGTCGGGGAGGAAGTTGTGAGTGTAATGCATAGGCGAACACACACAGTCTCCATGGCAACAGTTTGATCTTTCTCTCTGTGGCTGTCATGCCTGCAGCACACATGGTGACGGAGTGGACAGGTTGCACTGATGACCAGAGGCGGGGAGGTGCGAGCTGGGGAGGGGAGGAGTGTGCTTGCATCAGAGATAGTGGCCGGTGCCTCCTTTTTTCTTTTCCTTCCCTCTCTCTCTCACTCGGTCTCTCGTTCTCTTTCGCCCACCCGCCCCCTCCCAGCTCTCCCTAAACTCTGCCATCTGCAGACCCCAAGAGCTGCTTTGATTGGATTAGCCATGAATTAATGAGACAGGCTTGAAGAACAGCCTCTGTTGTGGAAATCTCTTATCATATCTTAATTCGCTCTTTGTGCGAGCGCGTGTGCCTGTGTGATCTTATAAGTTCTTTTAATGAAATCAAAGAAAAGCTCAATGCTTTCTTTTTCAAAGCCACAGATTGTAATGAATTTGCTTGAAATGATGTCGCTGACTAAACGAGTCCCCAATTTGGGGGAGTGTATGTTAAAAGCCCTGAGAGAGACCTGTTGCTCATTCTGGAGAGATGTAGAGAGGCAGTGTTGTACAAATATCCTCTTTTTCAAACGCAACAAGTGTTACTTCTGCTGTATTTTCTCTTCCACCGAGTTGGAAAAAGTTTTGCTCGGCTAAAGCTGTTTACTGTCATCCGCCTGGACAAAGACTGAGCGTGTTTTGGATGTGTTGTTTTTGGGTGGCATGAGTGTAAAGCTAACCCTGAAGAATGGACTCCTGTCTCCTCGACGGCCTAAACGTGCCCTCCTCCTTTTGACCACTGAGTGTTTTCAGAAAACAGCGCTTTGTCATGTCCTAATCCTAACCGGCATAAAGTCTGTGCATTTTTCTATGACTGCAGCACAGAAATAACTCTGCCTGCATGTCCCCCTGCTGTCTGAAATTAATAGCATACACACTATTTATTGTTGTAAGTTTCTACTTAGCGTGAGATAGAAGGATCAGGTGGGGGATGGCATTGTTTGGTTTGGGAAGTATTCTGTTGGTTGCGTAGCAACAGGCTCCTGGAAACGGGAGTGGACGGTGTTGCCACTAGCAACCGTTGTTGCTCTGCAAACAATGTGGGCCAGTGCAAACATGAGCCAAGACTGCGGGCTCCTGCTTTTAATTGAACATCTGTATGTGTTTTTCTCTGATTGAGCCCTGTGCAAGTTAGATCTGTCACTGACAGATGTTTAAATTTTGTTGGCAATATAGGCCTGATTATTAATGACAGTTTGGGAGGCCTCCAGGGTTCCTAACATGTGACTTTTGTTATTTCTGTGTAGCTTTTAAAACTCCGGTATCTCCTGAAAGCAGGGATTCTTTGTGTAATGTTGTCAAGTGCTTATCTGGGATTTGCTTGAAATAAACCAGGCTTGCAGACCTGACATGAAAACAGACTTTTTGTGTGAAGTTGTCTCTGAGTAGGAGAAATAAAGATCTGACCGTAGCCCATCATAAGTAGTGGGTTTGCAGCAGCGAGCTGGCCCTCCTGCTGGGCTCTACCTTTGTGCCTTTCAGAGCTGCTGGTGGGGATTTTGTGTGGCTTTTAACCTTCTTCGAACGCTAAACAGACTCCTCTGAGCCACAGACTTTCTCCTTTCCCACCAACTCAGTGATTGTTTTCTTTTTAATTTTTTTAATTTTTAATTTTTATTTTTTGGGCGCAGTTTACCTTATCTAATTTGGGTCAGCACCTTCATAGACAAAAACACGCTGGTCAGTGATCCTTTTCTTGTTTTGGTCACCACCTTGCTGTGCCGTCTACTCATTAATGGCATAAAGAAGCTCCTGAGGTTTGTCTTGCTTCCCGTTGGTGCTCTTTAATAATAGATTCTTGTCATTTGTTCACATTTGGTCCTTTTACATTCAAATATTTTAAAGGACAATGTCTCTGTCTGACTCAGAAGCATGCCCCAAAAGAAAGACTCATACAACACTTAGGATTAGCTTGGTGTTTCAGTTGTGATTGACACACATCGGGAATTTCAACATAGGCCTCCTACGCTTAGTCTGTTAGTCATGTAAGCAGAACACTGTCTTTGCCTCTGGCACACATGGAAGTTGTCACTAGTGGCACACCCATATCTGTTATCATAAAGGTATTCTATCCCCCAAACTCTACATGTTGCCAAGTTACATTCGGTGTCCAAAACCTGAGAAGTAACAGTTAAAAAGTCTGTTTTTGTTTATGATGGGTTTTTGTGTTTGTTTTCTGGGGTTTTTGTGTGTTATTAATAAGTGTTGCATCTTAAACAAAGTTATGTTTTCTTCATGGTTTTTAAAAGTGCATTAAAATAGCTTACAGAGTGAAAGAACCGTAAGCTCTAAATGCTGTAATTAACATTTGATCGAGTACTTATGAGGGACAGTGCCAGGCGTTGTGCGATACAGTCCTTAGCTGGTCTGCTGGAGATTTACTGCTTCTAGTTATCATTTTGTAGTGAAGCATTTATCGTTATGGTCTGTGTTTTTAACGTCACGGCTTTGCGTGGTGGAGATTGTGTATCTGTGATATTCATGTTTTTTTTTAGATAAATGTATTTGTTCCTTGTTGCCATCAACAGTGTCACTGATCCAGGTTTTTGCTCTCGCGTTGCTGGTTTTTCCAAATGTTTTTTTTTCTTTGGCACGTCCACAGAAAAGTTCACGTTTGGTTTTGAAGTTTGTGTTTAATCTCTAAGGCACACTTACAACCCCTTAGTTACTAGTCTAAGTCCTTTGACTTACCTGAAAGTTAAGCTTTGAGAAAGCCAAGACACATGTGCGGCTGCACTAATGACTCAGTGTGCAGATTACTGCAGACAGAGTGGTTTTTGTCAGGTCTCTTCAAGTGAATTAAAATAACGTTGTTGCGCACGCTGTGTGTTATGACTAATCGCAGCATGTCTAGAGCAAGTTGCGTCTTGCGGCGCTTGGCTATAACACTCTATCTGAACACTACCTACTTGTTCCCCTACTGACTTTTCCTGCTACCCCACATTTTCGGCCTTTAAATTAAAGCCTGTTCTTCAGTTCAGCCCCCCCCCCCCGTATCTCCCTCTCCTTTATTCAAATCATCCTCCCCCTACTCTCTTTGTGGTTGTACTCGAAAGTTCCTGTGCAGAAGCTTTATAAGGGGGCTAAAATAGAGGAGTGAACACGAAGGCGTGGGGGTGGGAGTCAGGGTGAGTTTGCGGGGAGGGAGCTGAGGGGGGGCACAGATTCCTCACCATAGCAACCGACAAACGTTTACAAAGCATTGAGGAATTTCCTCATATCAGCTGGATTATTGGAGCCCTCAGAGATCAGCTCTTGCTTGAAACAAACGCTGGATATCATCAGGACCCTGGCAGGGGCTCGAACCCCACTGCTATTTTCATCTTTTTCCCCCCCATCATTTTTCTCTTTTGAGGTTTTTTACCCCCCTCTCCCATTCTTCTCTTGTCCCTGCCTTGTTGCTCCCGCTCTTGCTCTGTCCTTTTTTTAAAGAGAGCCTTTGTGTCACTCCATTTTTAGCTCCCCTTTGCTATGCTGTGCACATTGTCACCCAGTCGAAAGCAGAGTAGTGGCAATGGGTTTGGTCCCCACGAAGCACTTCAGTCCTGTTGGTAACTTGAACTCCTCTACTGTAATTTTTCCTCCTGGGTCTCCTCTGTCAGCAGGACGATGTGTGTCAGTAATACTGTTGGCCTATTGATTTTGTCTTTGATTAAAACTAAAGGTGGGCAGCCTCTAGGGTTCTGAGTGCTGTAGTGACTCAGCTTTGGTAAAGCTAGAAACCCCCCGGGGTACAATGAATGGCCCGGTGGCTCCACAAGAGTAGTAGTTTATTTACTAAGGTGCTCATATTATATTCTTTCAAAGTTTTTAAAATTTTGCCTAGAAGGGTATTTCTTCAGTCTGGTAGAAAATGACTTCTGGTGATGTCTTTTCTGATTCTCCTTAATGCTTCCCAGCATGCAGAACTCCGAGGGAGGGTCAGAAACCACGACCAGCGTGGCAGCGCTGCGGACGTCATCATCAGCCCAGGCTCCGGTGGTACAGCCTGTCCCAGCCTCTCAGCAGGTAGGATAATATATCTACCCTGCTGCTACTGTGATGATAGGACAAAGTCTGTCATGACTTAACTGTTCCGTGCCATCTCTTTCCAAATGTTAAGTATAAGGGAGAAGTTATTTTGGAAACCAGGCCAAGCCAGGAGCTAATGTTACATGGAATGCCAATGGAAATATAGCATAGAAGATCCCTTTTTTAACTTCTGATTGGGTGTGCAGCGCAGAGAGCTGCAGCAGGCAGACCTGTCTGCTCGCACACACGGTTACACCGCCCATGAAAAATCACACACTCAGACAAATAACTTGCTCTAACTGGTGCACAGAAAGGAGGAGTTTAGTGCTCTAAATGCTATTTTAACCTAAGTGCTTTAAGCTCATTTCATCAGGAATTGTATGAAAAAAATCTGATGAGGACTGGCACGGCTCGTCTCCTGACTGAGACTACAGCGACGTCCTGCTTTGCCCACGTATTATTTCTAAAAGCCCACCCTAACACAGCAGGTCAAACCCTGCCCTGTCCAGCAGCACCGGCAATAAATAAGAATGTATTTTTAAATTGTGGTTCCAATTTGTAACTTGTCAGCAAATAAAGCCGCTACCGTCCACTCTGCCAACAGATGCCTCTCGTATCAATTTACATTATTAACTTCTGCCATGAGTTCTCTGTCTTGCCAGACCAGTACATCAAATTTGCTAATGTTTCGAGGCTGCAGATAAATGAGAATCATCTGCGCGAGCGTAAATGACAGTCGAGATTTCTGTCGTGTAGTTTTTATGTCTGTCTATTGCTATCGTTGCTACTTTATATTCAAAACCTGTATTAAAAAGAGATGTAAACCTGACATTTATAGATGTTTGTTATTGTGTTGACTGTTGCATGTTTAGAATAATGCGTTTGTATGAATTTTAAATGCCCATCTATGTAATTCAGTTATGTCTCGTATTCACACAGAGAGTGCTGGTTCAAGCCACAGGCTCAGCTCAGAAGGGAGGACAAGTACAGCAGCTTTCAGTACCCAGGGCTCAACAGGTCCCTCAGCAGGTACACAGTACTGTACTTACTTGTACTGTGCTCTGAAAATATGTACACCGCTTGACTTGATGGCTGAAGACCTGTGGAGTCGTACAATAAAGTAGGAAGAAGATTACACTTTAAATGACTCGCACATCCAGAATACCAGACTGGTAACGCGACCGTGTCCCCTGTAGTTTTGTCGTTTGCAAATACTAGTTATTTGTCAGGTCCTGTTCAGGTGACAGTTTATGTTTATAAATAATGAAATTTAGTCCTTCAGCTTTGGTCTTCAATTAACAAACTAGGAAGTACGCGACCAAATTGGTAACAGATCCACCTTTGTGTGTTTAAACGCTCTCTAGCATGGCGGCCCGTTTTTTGTTTTTAAGCACATTTCTCCTCTTGCTGTGCTCCTCATGGGTGTGTGAAAGTGTCTTTCTCTGGCTGAGCCTGGTCCACTGGCTGTATACATGAATAACATGTGTATATCTATAAAATGTCTCTTGGTGGCTTTTAAAATGAAAATGTTATTTTAAACTGTTATTTGTCCCGCTGGATAAAAGAACAAGTTTTGTGTGTGTGTGGTGGTGACAGTGTGTTTCTTGGCTTTTCTGTTGCCTATGTGTGCTTACGTTGTGCTTACGTGTAGCTCTGGATCCCAGAGTGTAATGTGATTTGTCCATTGGTCATCTGATCGCAAATAGGACTCTTCATCTTTATCATTCAGTGCATCGTTCATTAGCACTCAAGACCTCAGGGTCACTTAGAAACGTTCTCATTCTTGGAAGAAAAGTTTCTTAATTTACGTGACTTTGAAATGAATTTGAAGCGTTGTAAATGGGATGTAATCAGTAATTAGTTTTTGTTTTAAACTATGTCTGTCTAATTTTCTGCAGCTGTCTCCCGTGTTCCACTGTACAGCTCTAATGCAAGTTTATCACATTTAAACCTTATTAATCTTTAGATTAGAATTTCAAATTTGTTTGAGTTGAGATGAAAATCTTTGTGCTGGCTTTCGAGAAAGTGAAGTAGGAGGCTGTAGTGGACATCTGACCAAGAAGACAAGTATCAGAGTCTCTAGTTAAAGAAACGGGCAAACTGCAGGTCCTCGACTGACAGCTTCATTAAACGAAACCCACAAAACAGCCTTCTCACTGTCAACAGAGGGAAGGCGACATTTACAGCAGAGTCGGAGAGGAAAAGCAATATATGAAAGGACAAGATTAAGATGGGCACAAGAACATGCCGGACAGAAAATTGGAAAAACGCTTGATGTGCTTGGCCCAAAGATTTTCTACATCTGTGAGATGTAGAATAGACGAAAAGATGATGGCGCGCGGCTTACCATCTGTCAAGAGCGGTGGAGTGCTTTGGTAGAGGTAAAGTGGGAGATTTGCACAAGATAAACAAAGACTTGAAGGAGGAACGCTATCATTCCATTTTGCAACATCGTGGCTCACTCTGTGCAAAACCACACGTGCGATATGTCTTCATTGGTTCAAGCTGAAATCCGCTCGTACGGTTTCACCGAATGCAAAGTGTATGTTTTAATCTACTCTGTCTGTGTGCCTGCAACAGCTGTCAGCGGCACGGTGCTTTTTGTGAATATGTCTTGAATGCCTTGAGGGAATTTCCACAAATTTGGCACAAGTGTTTACTCCACGAAGAACTGATTTGATTTTAGCAGTCAGGTATCAATGTCACTGTGATTTAATTTGCTTCCATTCTTGCCAAAGCGATAGGATCACTTTTAGTTTCTGGCACAGACGTTCAGTTAAACTCAAGGATGGAAAAGATTAAAAATTGGTAGTCGAAGGTCATTTAATGCTCTTCAGTTCATGCAGTTTACTATGTGTGTGGACAGACATGGATGTAAAGTGTTGATGCATTCTCCCGTGGGTTTGTGGGCGACTGCATCAATGAGAGAATTATGCCGTTATCTTATTTTTTCCTATTGCCCACTTGATTGCAGCTGGTTCTGATAAATAAATAAGAAATCTTCTCAGGCCTGTTTCCACTGATCACTGCTTTCATTGTGCTGTGATCTCCATGTAGGTGCAGCAGGTGCAGCATGTCTACCCGTCACAGGTCCAGTATGTTGGAGAAAGTGGAGAAGCGGTTTATACCAATGGAACAATGTGAGTCGTGCTGCTTTTTCTTTCAAATGGGGAATAAAAAAATAAAAAATTCAGACAAAGATTTATTGTGAAACTGAAACACATTTACTACAATAACTCTGTCAGTGAAAGGACCCGGAGGACTGCTTTGTAAATCACACAGACACAGCGCTGCACATATTTGGCTCCATCTCAAATGTGGAGTCATCTTGGATTATGTCTAAATCGGTGCTGGATAAAAGGAATAAGACAAATAATTGTCCAGACTACTTTTTAACAAATATCTCTCAGATCAATTGCCATTAAAGGTGACTGATGCCTAAACGACTTTTATCCCACACTTTGATATTTAATGACTCTAGCAAAACAAAATATTTTGACGACTTCTGTAATTTTTGCCGATGTCAACACAATGTTGTTTTTTCCCTGTGCGTTTGCATAAAGATTCCTCTTTGCAGGCAGAGCTGAAAATCAAATGTTCTTTCATTTCTGTGGCCTCTCTGCAGCCGAACAGCCTACTCCTACAACCCCGAGGCACAGTTGTACGGGCAAAGCAGTGGCGGGCCCTACTTTGACTCTCAGGCCGGTGGAGGTCATGTTACCACGGTGGTCTCCTCTGCCAGCGGCGGCGTGCCCACTCATGGCATGGTAGGCATCACCATGGACGTGGGCAGCAGCCACATCATCTCCAGCGGCAGCACCTACCTGATCCACGGCGGAAATATGGAGGGAAGCCGCAACCACATATCGCACTCGTCGCGTTCCTCCTCGGCTATGGTGAGCAGCAGCCATCCCGCTGTGCTGTTATTCTGGTGCACGTTTACCAACTCGAACAGGATTAATAACAAAGCAAAAATGAATACTTAATGACTGATAGAGTCTGGGGGGGCGTCTAAATAATAGTTTTGATAGTAACTTTCATCACTACCTGAGATAGACTGTCCTAACTGACCACCCAGTTTCCCAGGAACCCGCAGCCTGAGTCGGGGCCTCCTAGCTCTGTAGTAACGCACAGAGTGGTGCAGGCCAGTGAGCCCGCAGAACCGGGACATTGGCTTAAATAATTCAGCACTGCCTTGTTTCAGAGGTTTTCACAGGCACTTGAGCGCCCTATGAAACAAAGCAACCCTTGGGGCTCATTACCATTTGGCCAAGAGCCCTCGGGAGCCTTCTTAAGGCTTGGACCGCTGCCCGTTTCTTTTTCCTTTTATTCCGTCTCCAGTTTGGCTGCACTACCAAGTCTTTTTTGACTTGATTTTTCTTCTACAGCTCAACAAAATGTCCCTGGTTTTGTCGTTCACTTTGCCCGCCAGTCGGACTCCATTATTTTTCGTTGTCTAGTGAGAGACTAATATGTCAGCGTGTTTTTCTACAGTGACGGTTTTGCTTAAGTCTTAGTCACGGCTTACTCTGTCTGCCATTTAGCTCTTCAAATATTTTTCAGCTACATCGTTTGATAAACTGCGGGGTGGTAGGCATTGTTGACCTGTTGCTGAAAACCTTAAGCTGACCTGCGACCCCTGTTTGTGGTTCCTATTTGCATACATTAGAGTGTCTGACCGCAAACCTTCACTGAGCAGCTTAACCCTATGAGTCCCTTGATTTGCATGCTTTTGTCAGCCAGTAATAGATTTGGCTACAACACTGACTGATTTTTAATAGAAATGCAGAGATCTGGCTGCTCGCTAACAGTCTTATTACCTTTATCTTTTTGTGTGTGTGTTTGTTTTCTTCATATACCCCTGCTTATTTCTGTTCCCTTTTTCTGTCTCTCAATCTCTTCTCGCCTCCTCCCCCTTCTGTGTCCACTTCTTTCTTTTTTTCTTCTCTTTTTTGCATGCTTCTTCTTTCTTTAGCTTGAAATGGCGATTGAAAACCTCCAAAAGTCTGAAGGAATTGCAAGTCACAAAAGCAGCCTGCTCAACAGCCATGTAAGTCAACCAGGAACTTTCTTTGAAAAGGACGTGAGAGGGGAAAAAAGGAAAGAAAGCCGTGGCTGAATCTGTGGGCTGTGTGCTCTTCTTGTGCTGAGATGAACGCACTGCGACTTAATCTGCTTCTGCACTGTCTCAATGACACGCACACTTAATTTTCTTTATCTGAACTTGCATTTGCTGTCACTCTTTCCTCAGTTATGTATCTCGTACATGTGCATTAATGCTCTGCGTCTGCATGTACTTAAGTCGACTGATGTTTCCAAATATTTCTGTTATTTTCACTTCTAAGTACAGCGACACGCACTCAGATTTTATTACAGTGCAGCTTTCGTCCTGCCCGTCAGGCTTAAGAATGAGATTCACATAATATCTCTGGGTAGGTTTTTATCTGCATGAGGACATTTGTGGTGTAGATTCCTTTCCTTCACTCTTAACATAATTTTTTTTGCTATGTTGTTTGCATAAATTTACTTTGACGTATTTTATTGGATTGCATATTGCAAATCATAATTTTGCTGATTATTTCTTCAGTTTCAGTTATTCTCCTTAGTTACTGTTCGTCATGCTGTAGTCACTTATGTTCTCTGAAGAATACAGTTAGACGGGGGGGCTGCAGTGGTGTCTCTGGTATTTATATCACTAAACTAAAACAGGCTACCGTGTGCGTGTTGTCTGTTTTGTGCCGTGTCTTCACCGGGTGACTATAACGCTTTATTTTTATTTTTTGTGACATCTGTGTATTTTTAGCTGCAATGGCTTCTGGACAACTACGAGACAGCGGAGGGGGTGAGCCTGCCCCGGTCCTCCCTCTATAACCACTACTTGCGGCACTGTCAGGAGCAGAAACTGGACCCAGTTAACGCAGCCTCCTTCGGCAAACTCATCCGCTCAGTCTTTATGGGCCTGAGGACCCGCCGCCTCGGCACCAGGTAGGAAGAGGAAGAGGTTGTTGCAGATGCTGATGACGGTAATCACATGACCATTATAGATTTGATGATGCTTAATGCTTATAGGCACTGGTAACCTGCTGATGGACCGGGCTAATGATAGTGATTACACTGATGGCAAGGCTTCTCGTGACTGGTTTCTGGCTTTTCTCACTCTATCCACCAGAGGCAACTCTAAGTATCATTACTACGGCATCCGGGTGAAGCCAGACTCGCCGCTCAACCGACTGCAGGAGGACACCCAGTACATGGCCATGAGGCAGCAGCCAGTCCACCAGAAACAGAGGTCAGGTCTTTCTCCTTGTCTGCCTGCTGCAGCGTCCTTTCTTTACATCTCTGTGGCTCTGTGATGACTTTTACTAGTTTCTGAATAAACCTTCACTGACATCAGTCCTGTGACAGCTGGTTATATTCATTTCCCTTTTGCTTAACCAAAAACAAGAACAGCGCTGCTGCTAGTGTGTCCATAATGTACCGTGTGTCCTGGAAACCCATGAGCCTCTTTTAGTGAAACTCGCTCAGGAATAAACGCTTTAATGCAGCACATAAAATAGATCGCTGCACGTCTTGGTTTTCAGCTCTGACACACCCACCGAACTTAGAAAACATATTTCAAAAACAAAAATGTAGTTGCTGCTGTTATCGAGTGGTGGAAGGAACACTTCGAGGACCTCCTAAATGCTGCTGTCGTGTCTTCTGTAGAGGAAGTCTGGGGACGACGCACTGAGGCAGCTAAACAACTACTCGGTGGCAGGGCCACTGGGGTGGATGAGGGTCGCCCTGAGTTCCTGAAGGCTTTGGATGTTGTCGGGGTGTCTTGGTTGACACGCCTCTATAATGTGTGGAGATCAGGATTGGCAGACTGGGGTGGTGGTTCCCATCTTTAACAAGGGGATAGGAGGGTGGTCTTCAACTTTAGGGGGATCACACTCCTCAGCCTTCCTGGGAAAGTCTATGCCAGGGTGCTGGAAAGAAGAGTCCGTCCAGTAGTCGAACACCGACTACAGAAGGAACAATGTAGTTTTTGTCCTGGTCGCAGAACGCTGGACCAACTGTTTTTACACTTGAGTGTGCGTGGGAGTTTAGTCTACATGTGTTTTGTGGACTTGGAGAATGCATTCGACCGTGTCCCTCGGAGTGTCCTGTGGGAGGTGCTTTGGGTTGCCAGGCCTGTTGCTACGAGCCATTCGATCCTTATACAACTGTTGCCAGAGCTTGGTCCGTATAGCCGGGAATACGTCGGACTCGTTTCCGGTGGGTGTTGGACTCTGCCTGGCCTGCCCTTTGTCACAGGCTGTACCGGTCCGTCGTGGTGAAGAGAGAGCTGAGTCTAAAAGCGAATCTCTCGGTTTACGTCCCCACCCTCACCTATGGTCACGAGCTGTGGGTAGCGACCAAAAGAACGAGATTGTGGATACAAGCGGCAGAAATGGGCTTTCTGTGAAGGGTGACTGGCCTCTCACTTAGAGATAGGGTGACAAGTTTGGCCACCTGGGAGGAGCTCAGACTAGTGCTGCTACTCCTCCACATTGAAAGGAGCCAGGTTGGCTCCTGCGCGAAGTGTTCTGGGAGGAGGCCGCAGGGCAGACCCTGGAGAGATTATATATCTCAGCTGGCCTGGGAACGCCTTGGTGTTCCCCTTGACAAGCTGGAGGAGATGGCCGGGTAGAGGAAGGTCGGGCTTCTCTGCATAAGCTGCTGCCCCCACAACCTGGCCCTGGATAAATGGAAGAAAATGGATGAATGGATGGATAGTTGCTGCTTAAATCAGCAATAAACTCTCATAAATCAGCCTGGGTTTTGTACCGAATGCGATGTGTGCTCCTCAGTGTCCGATTCTTTCATTGTGCTTCCCCAGACCTTCAAAAATCACTAATGTACACGTTCCACCCTCTTACGTCTACACAGGTTCAAGCCTCTGCAGAAGGTGGACAGCATGTCTGACAGTCTGTGTGGGAGCTCGCAGCACTGCAGCACTCCAGAGCAGTCTGTGGCTGCTCAGAGCCAACACCACCAGCAGTACATAGGTAAGCACAGGCGCTCCCGCTGAAACTGCTTAAGGTGGTTTAACTCTTATCACTTCTCTTTCCAGATACAGTCTTTAATGCTAGCACTAGGTATTTTTATTTCACTAGCTGGGCCCACGTCCTCATTTTAGGTTTGACAGCGTTTCAGTAGGTAAAGGTGAAGCGTTGACATGAGTTGAGCTGCGGTTTGGGGACTGGTGACAGTCTAGCAGATCACCATGCACTAAATAGAAATGAAGAAGTTAAAGAATTGAGAACAAGGAGGGAGGGAGGGGCACGTAAACGAGAATGAACAGCTTGCAGAACTGAGGGAACCTATGTAGATGACAACCGGAAGGAGCGTGTTTGGAGGCGTGGTCCCGCTCCTGAAATTCTGATACATAATCTCCAATAAAAATGCGTCATAGCTTCGTCTTGGCTTTACTAGAACATCGATTTTAAACTTGGGTGATAAAAGTCCGACACCGTGACGCAGACCATATGAGCTACACGTATCCATAAAACAGTCGATGTCATATGTGTCATTACTCCTCGTTGCTGTGTGAGTGAAATGAGTGACGCCTGTCTACATTTATGCAGATATGTCTCACAGCTTGCCTCCGTTTCCAACTCCTGACTTGGGCACCCAGCCTCTGCCTGAGCGCATCAACATGAACGATATTAAGAAGTTGCAGACGCTCTACAGAGACCACTGCGAGGTGGGTCACAGTGACGCCGTATTCTTTTCTGGATTTGTCTTACATGTGAACCTTTGTTCTTCAGTTTTGTAGCATCCCATTCCCAGTTACAGTACACTCTGCCCTCGCCTGCGTCGCTTCAGTTTCTCACATAGTTAAACGTTAAACAATGAAAACCTCATTATATATAAATACTGTAACTGAAATGGAAAAAAAAACATGACTTTTCATCTATTACTTCTTTATCAGTAGAAAAAACTGTAAAACTCATGGAAATCTAGTTAAAAGTGCAAAATTTGTCCATCACTTTTATCATAACTGTCCAGCGGGCCGATTTTGGCCCCCGGGCTTTATGTTTGACACCTCTCCACCAGAGTTACTTTCAGTGGATTAAGTGCATGTTTGTGACACGTTCAGAGATGTGTGAATATACATGACAAACAGCGATGATGAATTTTTAATAAGCAGATGCATTTTGACAGTGAAAAAAGGTGATTTGTGTGTGTGTGTGTGTGTGTGTGTGTGGGGGGGGTCTTTCATCTGCAGAAACAATTAATGCGTCCTGTGTAGTTTTGGTTTTAATCATGTTATTTTGGTGTTTTGCACATCAAACACACGAACAGCACGTTTGAGTGGAGCCTATTACTGCACTGTTATAAATTCCAGCTTTGATATTTATTACCTGCTAAACAGGATGAAGCTGAAACAATGGAAGCCTGCAGTTTAATTAGTGGCATCATAAGCTGTAATGACTCATTCTTATGTCACAAACTCTTACGCATCAGTCAGCAGTCGAGTGTGATATCATATCAGCGAGCAGTGAGTTTCCTGCTGTTCGTTTTGAGTCGATCCCACAAACCTCCTGCCTTCATAAATAGCGATCACCTCGTCAGACTGACACCCGTGTCAGCCCTCTGCTCCGAGGTCAGGCGCCGCCCGGCTGCGGTGACCTGGTGTTGCTTTCGAGAATAAGAATCAATTCGACGCCACTGACATTTAAATATCATTTAACTGATGTGCAGAGAAAGAGGAGGAGGAGGACAGAGAGGTGAGACGGGAACCTTACTTGGCAGCTACGGGGTGAAATTTAGTGTCGCCCTCAGCGACCTGTATCGAACCACATTGCAGAAGAGCAGAAATAATTCTGGACATTAAAGCGTGCGTCTTTACAGACAGGCGAGCGGCTGTGATTAAAAGCAGCAAAGCTTTGGCTTTATCGTATTATCCCTGCCCTCCCCTTGTCCAGCCTCACCACGCTCCCTTTGTTCCAGCCGTCTTTTCATCTCCGTGCAGCTTTCAAGACATGCCAATTAACCTTTCAGTGCACTGGGTGGACATCTTGGTGTCTTTGTGGTGGCCTCCCCTTGGGCCTTTGTGCAGCCTCGTCGGCGGACAGGCACACGGGCTCCTGGCTTTGGCAGCCGGCACATTTCTGTCAGTCTCGCTGCCTCTGCGTCTTTAATGTTCATGCACTCGACATTTTATCCTGTTTTGTTATTTAAAAAAAAAAATTGTGTGTGTGTGTCAACACTGACCTATTAACACATTAGCCAAGGGTTTTATTGCTATCATTTAACGTTACAACACAAATAATGATTATTTTAGCTAAAAATAATATTTTACTCTAAAGAGTAAAGCGTCTCTTTTCAAGTGTGCTGTAAAGTATCCAGAGTGGGGCATGTATTTATTAATGTCATGGTAACAGCCAAATATCCAGGCGTCAGCCAAGCCTTTGGATGAACGTTTGAGAATGAATGATTAGTTTTCAGTAAACCTCGCAGGCTAATAAATCACAGGATTTTATTGTGCGAGTGCACAGAAACAAGCAGTTAAGATTCAGGAAGCTCCACCGGAGGCCTGCTCGTCTGTCTGAGCTCTGCACATGAGCACGTTTTCTTTTCTCCTGCACTTTTTAAATGTTTTTTATATTTGTGTGTGTGTGTGTGTGTGTGTGTGTGTGGCACATAAAACTGGACGCGAAAAGCTCCTGTTTAAGAGGGGATGGGAAATTCTCCTTTTTGTTTTGGAGTTCTGTGTTTGACCTGTTGCTGGGGGCAACTGTAAACACGGTTGCCATGGCGATGGCTGGAGAGGAAGCAAAAACATATCATGTGATTTGAGCCTACGCTGCTGTGTAACAAGATCCAGCAGCAAGTGCGTGTCCTGCCAGATAGAGAAAGCAGAGAATTTCACGGTGCAAATCAAACTTTTCAGTTCAGCAGCGGCTCGGCGTGGACAGCTTCAGATGGTCAGATTGACCTTTTGCTTCAGGTGGAGTCCAGAGTCTCACCTCCTCTGACCTGATGAACGGCCCCAAAAAAATCTGCGCAGCGCTGGATTGGAGGGGGGCGGGGGGTTATGTGCTGACTCTAGTTTTAGAAGCGGGGAATCATTTTAGGTCTGAACCCTGCCGCTGCTTCCTTTGTGCTCGAGTGTTCACTTGTATGCAGCATGCTCTCCTTTCAAAGGGGCTTCTGAACAGGAAAAAGGAAGTCACATGGGTTGGCGCAGGTCACTAAAAGTAGGCAGATGGAAGCATAAATCTGTGTGAAATAAAATGCAAAAAGCATAAAACGACGCGTCCAGATGAAGCCCGAGCGTGGCCTTTAAGATTCTCCTGGTGATTAATGTGCAGGGAGCTGTGTTTGAGCTGGCTCATTGTCTCACCAGGAGGACCTGCAGTGAGAGAGAGGCAGCCCGCCTGGCTGTAGAAACTTTGTTGTGTGTCTGGTTGCCATGGTTCAGCTCTGTGTGTTTTGTCCCCTTCTTCCTCCCTCTCTTTTTTCCCTCCTCTGTTCCCTCCCCCTCAATTCCCTCCCCTGCTTCCCCTCCTGCAGGCTACTTTGGATGTGGTGATGAACCTCCAGTTCCACTACATTGAGAAACTCTGGCAGACGTTTTGGTATTCAACACCGCCACCTAGTGATGGAAGCACAACGCTTCCCAGCAGGTCAGAAAGAAAAAGGGGGAAAAAAGGCTTCAGTGTTTGACGCGAGGGCATTAAATGACCCTGTGATGTCATGTCTGTGATTACTGCTTTTTCACTTGAATTACAAGCAACAGTTTTGTTTGTAAGGCGGACGTTATTTTTAAAAATATGTGTGTGTGTGTGTGTGTGTGTGTAGTGATGATGAACCGGAAGGTGTGATTCCCACAGAGAAGCTGGTGTCTCTGTGTAAATATGAGCCTGTCAGGCTGTGGATGAGGAGCTGCGATCACATCCTCTACCAGGCCCTGGTGGAGATCCTGATCCCCGACGTGCTGCGACCTGTTCCCAGTCAGTACTGCTGAGGATTTCATTCAAATGATTTTTTTTTTTTAAAAATTTAAACAAGTAAAGTAATATATTGAGAGTTAAGACTGATGAGTGACAACAGGATGAATTTAGGACCAGGGGCTCGCTGTGTTGACGTACATGCTGACACATTAGAGGCATTTCTTTGTTTTCAGCGTACGGTGTTTACACTCTTGCCGAAAGGCTTTCTGCAGAGTGGGGACAGTAATGATAATCCAGGCTGCTCTCTTTCTTCAGGCACTCTCACTCAGGCCATCCGTAACTTTGCCAAGAGTCTGGAGGGCTGGCTGACTAATGCCATGACCAGCTTTCCACAAGAGATCATCCGCACTAAGGTATCAGCAGAAATCTTTTTCAGATCGTCTGCATGCATGCACATGATTTATGTGAGCTATAAAACCCAGCAACTCTCTAAGTAGGGTTTTAAAATCATATTTCCACAAATGTTCAGCTGTGAACTTTTCAAACTCTTGTGTGATCAGTGTTTCATTCAACACTACGGTGACCTGCCCACTACCTACAGAGGTTGGATACAGTCTACTATTGTGCTTTATGTGTTATTACTGGCTGTGAAAGTCATGTACATCACTGTTCTTTATACGCTGCTGTAGGGGTGGGCGATACAAACGATATAAATTCGGCAAACGATAGAGATTTTGACTATATTGCTCTATCGCGATAGCGCATGTTGATGATGTCATCAAGCTGCGCCTGTTGTGGTCGAAAGCATCGCAGCGGCTACAACCATTATCATCTGCAAATTATGGCGACAGTCATAGCAAAGAGATGAAGCACTTTTGAAATAAGGGGAAAGGCAAAAACTGCGCTCCACTTCCGTAACATTGATTCATTAATGCTGAATTCTCTCGCAGCTGTTCTGTTCCCATGTTGTTGCAGTATATTAATAACTAACCTCGTATTGTGGATGAATAATCTCAGTTGTTCTCCTGACTGAAGTTTGGCCCGTGTACAGCATCCTGCTATGCGATTGCATTTGTCCCTGACCACCAGAATCCCTCACGTTAACTTTTATCGATTGGAAAAAAAGTTGGCGTTCATCCTCAAGCTTCACTGTGCTAATGTTATGCTAACATAGCTGTGTCGCTAGCGCATACGTAGCACAACATTATATACCAGGTAGCCCAACTTCAGTAACCCTGCAAACACCACTGCTGTTTAGTTTTCTGCCTTCATTTATGTTGGAAGTGGTAGCAGAGCTGTACGTTTGAATTAGTTTCAAAAATCTCTCAGAACATGGTATGAAATGTTTAGGTGGAAACTAGCGAGCTAACTTCCTGTTAACTTCTAACTCCGTTAAATTTTAATAAATTCTGTTTTCATGGATGCCTGGATGTTAAACTTAATTGTTACACCTGGTAAAGCAGCAATGCTGATGATTTAATTAAAGATGAAAGAATTTAGACAGTTTTTAACTCTCAGTATTCGTTTGACTTTGGGACCTGAAGTAGACGGAGTTTAGGACCCAGATCACTCCGCGAAGCTCCTCACTACGGCAGCCGTAATGCTCTGACAATCCATCAAAACATTTTTTAACTGATTTCTGCAGCCAAAATTGTTCTGTTTGTTTTTTGTTATGTGCAGAATATTGTCAGAGTGTAATTTTGGTTGCCTACTTGTATTGTCACAGATATCACAGGCAGGTGTCAATAAGAATTTATTCTTCTTCCTGCTCCTTTTCATTGTGTATGAGAAATGAATTATTGCTGCACCATGTGTGAAATAAATAAATAAATGTTGAAGCATCACAGGATTCTGACGCTATGACATTGTGACATTTAAAATAGCCGTGCTTTTTATTTTTGGTGCAGATTTTCAGCCTGAAAACAAACGGTTCATCTGTTCGGACTCGTTCCATTCAGACGGGGCTCACGGTGTATTTTCTGTGCGCAGGTGGCCGTGGTCAGCGCGTTCGCTCAGACTTTGAGACGATACACCAGTTTGAACCACTTGGCCCAGGCGGCGCGTGCCGTCCTCCAGAACACCTCCCAGATCAACCAGATGCTCTCCGACCTCAACAGGGTGGACTTCGCCAACGTCCAGGTGAGCGGAAAACCTCACATCGAAAAGACAAATATTTGCGTTGCACACGGGAAGTGAATGTGTCGACACTGTGTTTGGGGTTTTCTTGCTGAATGTGGCGTGTTTGTTGTGTCTAACAGGAGCAGGCGTCGTGGGTGTGTCAGTGTGACGAAAGCGTGGTTCAGCGTCTGGAGCAGGACTTTAAGGTCACCCTGCAGCAGCAGAGCTCTCTGGACCAGTGGGCCACCTGGCTGGATAACGTGGTCTCTCAGGTTCTGAAGCCTCACCAGGGCAGCCCCAGTTTCCCCAAAGCTGCACGCCAGTTCCTGCTCAAATGGTCTTTCTACAGGTCGGTGTGGTGGACTCGTCTCCGTTCACACTTCCAGTATAAGCCGCCGACTACGTGGTGTTTTTAGAAACGTTCTTTAGCTTGTAAAGCTCCCTGTAGCTCCTTGACGTGACATCTCTCCTTCTCTCGTAGCTCCATGGTGATCAGAGATCTGACTCTGCGCAGTGCAGCCAGCTTCGGCTCCTTCCACCTTATTCGCCTTCTTTACGACGAGTACATGTTTTACCTGGTGGAGCACCGCGTGGCTCAGGCCACTGGAGAAACTCCTATTGCTGTCATGGGAGAGGTGAGAGAGTGTTTAAAGAGCGAGGAAGGAATAGTTTAAGTTATGCAGTGACTGACACAGTTTCTCATCTGAATTACAGTTCAGTGACCTGACCTCTATGATGCCATCACTCATGGAAAAAGGTTCATCTTCATTTTTCATTTGATACAATTCAGCATCAACCTTCTGGGGAGCTGTTAGGAATGTATTTCACTGTATTATAGTTTTACTGGTCACTGCTTTCACGCTGACACTCGCCGTGTGCGTCTCTGCAGATGCGTCTTTCTCAGACGAGATGAGTGATTTGGGCAGCGACGCCGATGCATCCAGAGGACCGACTGAACCGGCCGTAAAGAGAGAGAGAATCGAAATGAGCCACCCTCTGCAGGAGATGTGAGTCTGGTGTGAGCGGGGTCAGACTGAGAGCCACACCGACCAGCATCTCACTCGTGGTGTTTTTTTTTTTTTTTTTTTTTTTTGTGGGCCTTTCGGGTCGCCGCTCTTGGCCCCTGGGCCGAGCATCCTCCTGCAGTCAGTGTGTGCAATGTACATAGACAAGAGTGTAGCAATGTCAGCTCTCCCCTCACTAGCATTTATAAATACTGTGAGCTCCTCCCCCCGAGAAGCTCACAGGTTGTTTCTTTTTACTTTTCGCGCCACTCTGTAACAGGTCTGAGCATCTTTGTTGTTGTTGCAACTGTGAACGAGTGCGTGCAGTACTTTTCCTTTTTTACTGGATGTGTGGTGTTGGTGATTCATCCTCCCTCTTTTTGTTTTTAAGACTCTAACTAGCTGTGCCATAGTGTCATTTGAGTGCCTTAGATTGCTAACTTTGAGATGTCTGTCCCTCAGCTGTGCCTCTACCGCAGTATGAATGTATCGTCTCCAAACCTCAAACATTCGAAGCACCTTTAACAGTGATTATGTGTAGGTGTGCTCTCCTCGTTGCCTCTGCTGCAGCTCGTAGCGAACGCTGGGCGGGGGGGGGGTGTAACAAGAACATGCAACCTGTAGACCCAAAGGACCTTTCTCCTCAGTTGCTCCCACCAGCCGAGCCTCAGCTCCGGCTCCGTGTGTCAGGCAGGACCTCGTAATGTCGCAGTAGTCGGTAAGGCAGCTCCTGCTGTTAGCTTGGCTGTGTAACACGTTGACCCGTTTACCTCAGTAGATTTCTATGCTGTGCCTCATTTGGCTCATGTGATGAGGCAACTATTAAAATAAAAAAATAAAAAAAATTAAAGTAAAAAATGAAAAGTAGCCACTGTTTCGTGTCCCTCACCCAGTTCTTTTATAAAATGTAAATAGTTCTCCTCGTTCCTCCTCACGGTTTGAGTGTCGCGACGGCGCTGTGGGGACCTGTGGCCGTTTACTCAGCTGCCACGCAGTCAGAACAAATCCACAGCGATCAGCTTTACGGAGACGGGACGTTAACCCCCGAACTGGAATCTGGACTCGCTCATTTCAAGACGAATCAAACGCCTCGAAACCAAAAACGATCTCGTGGGCGTCCCAGCTGACGCGCGCTCCCCGAATCCTTCGACCTCACGCTGTTACCGAGTTCAAGTCTTACGTTTTGTTCGAATTAAAAAAAATCCAGTGCGTCGTTTGGGGAATTAATCCATAAATTATATATATATCTATCTTTCTATGATGTAGACAGTGTGTGCTTCGTGGCCTTTGGTCTTTGCCTAATCTTTGTTCATGCTGTTACCTGGTTGGTCACATTGTATCAGACAGAAATGCTTTGATGTGTAACGGATTAGACTGGCGTGTGTGATGAATCTGTATCCAATCTCAACTGTTCAATGTAATGAAATTTAATTATTACTGCAGCGCTGAAGCTCTCAGTAAGCTATTAAACTGACGTAAGGAAAAAACTATAAAATCTATTTATATGGACTAATCTGATTTAATGGAGTTTTGTGTTGAAATCGGTTCGTTTTTTTCCCTCCTCCTCCTCATTTCCCTCACAGAGGATTTTGTTGTAGCAATGGGAATCTTTGAATTTGAGTTTAAGGCTTTTTGTAACTTGTGCCTGTCACAGTAATTTGCCTTAAAGTGCTTTGGAAAGAATAATTTCTATGTGTACTTTGTAATGTTTTGTAAGGCTGTTTTAGATTTTTTGACGGAGGATTATTTTTTATTGAACTAGGTTCTTACAAGTATACTGAACCCTTATTTTTGTGTATTTTTAAACCTGTTCTTGACTACACTTTAACTAGCTTAAGGACAGATGACGGTCTGTAATAAACTGCATAGTTCAGCTGTATTTTGTACCTGGTCACAGTGTAATAAATTGATGTAAACCAAAAAAAAAACAAACAAAAACGTTCCAGCACTTTTTTTTTATTTTTATCAAATCTCATCACAAACATCAGATTTACAAACAAGTTTATTTTTTTTAAAGGTTTTGTACAAGATGTTTGCTCATAATTGACTCGATGCTGTAGAGATTTCATGGAACTCCAGACAGTAAAGTTTTATTTTATTCACACTTTTTTTTCTAATTCAAGAAAAGTCATCAACAGCAAATCTCAGTCTGCAGTCTTTTGACACAAAGGCGTACAGAACAACACGGACACAGATTTAATAGGAAAAAAAAGTTTTCTTCCTGGAAGAGGAGGACAGCTGAACGTACGACAACACATGGGTTAAATTAGAGAAAAGAATTGGTCCGAGAGCAGCAGGACACTGACGGGAGGAAGCGAGTTCCTCGACTCAGGCACTGAAAGTGCAAAGTTCTCTGAACCTTCAGCGATCCCCGTTCAGAAATCTGACGGTCCTTTAGTTTGATTCACAAGGAGCAGCCCGCCATGTACTTCCCTGTCAGAGACATTAACATAAATAATCAGAAGGCAGAAAGGGAGCCACACATGCAAAATGTTTAGATTAAGAAATCAAACGATTGAGGGGGGAAAAAAAAAAGAATAGATCCTATTTTGTTATGTTAACCATAATCACACAAAGTGGACTCGAACTGGAGCTTCTCTCTGATATCATGGAGCTGGAGCCAGAAATCACCCAGCTTAGCACCAAGTGTTAGCCTAACTAAGTGTAAAAACGTACAGCTGCTGCTGGCAGCCATCGTGCTAAACTGAGCTGCTTTAGATTTAAAGTATGAGAACGATGTTAGAAAGGAAATGCTTAACTGTCCTGCACCTGTATGTCATCGGCCAGCAACAAAATATCAAAATGACAGGAATACTAATACTCACATTATTTCCATTACAGATAAAAAGAAAATCTTAAAAATCTTAAATAAGTTGAATGGTTCTCAGGTCAGTGCTGGGTGCTTTAAATACAAAGACATTCCTCTGAAAACAGCTGGGGATGACTGGACTGAAAGTGAAGGGGATAAACGGCCAACGTCCATGGAGAACGGTTGTGAGTGAGTGTGTTCAGAGTCACCTGTGGCGAATCTCTTCTTGACCAGCGACATGCGGTAGCGACCGCCCACCAACTCCACATCCATGCCCGACAGCGAGGCCCCAGAGCCCACAAACTGAACAGCCAGGCTGGGTGGAGGGCCGCGAGGGACCTCCAGGCACTGCCAGCTGGCACACAGAGTCCCCGAGCCTGGAATCACACATCAACACAC